GTATTCTATGCCCAAAGAGTCCCAGCGAGGATGAAAGTCATTAGGCCTGTAGGTAACATAGCACCTAACAGGCAATTTAAAAGGAAGGAAGAAAACAAAAAGGTCCAAACAAATACATAAAGATAGCTCTGCCCTGCTAACAATGAAGCCTGGATATTCTGCCCAGAATATGTCAGATCCCAGCCAGGGAATGAGTCAAATATATTGCAGAGCCCAAAAATGTTCTAGCGGAGAAATGCAGTATCATTTGAACAAGCCCCTAGATTCTAGAACCTGTAAAAGCTGGAATTACCAGCCACTCCCTTAACTTGTGCAGAAAAATAAAAGCTTTTAGCACAATGCCAAATACAAACCTAGAATATAGTTTGGAAGTCCAATTTCCTTTTTATCTGGGCTTCCATTTTTCAACAGTTTTAAAACATGAATCAGAGGTTCTGGAACAGACAGTAAACCTGTCCTTTCAGCTTCAGTCCAGCCAATTCCCTGGCACTCGGCCTAAGTTTTAAAATAACCAATCTTTTCCAAGTGCCAACAAAGGGGAAAAGCTGCCGTTATCTGACTCAGTATGTAATACCCGCAGCTATGTCTCATCCCAGAGAATGGGACTGATTATCTGAACCTGTCCTGGAAAACAGGCTCCACTTGCAACAATAGAAATCTATTTGTCCAGCGACACATTAGACTGACCTCTAAGGTCTCTCTGATCCAAGCCGTGGCATCTGAAGTCACTTGAATCAAACCATAGAGTCATAGGGATGAAAGGGACCACAAAGGTCTTCTAGTCCAACCCCTGGCCAAGCCAGGAGTTCTTGTAAGTTTTTATAGGTTGCACAATCTTTTCTTGAAAGTCTTCAGTGATGAAGCACACAAAACTTTGGAAGTCAAGCTATTCCACTGATTAATCATTCTCATGATCTGGAAATCCCTTTCTATTCCCAGGTTGGATCTCTCCGTTATGAGCTTCCACGTTGCTTCCTGTCCTGCCTTCTGGTGCTTTGGAGAAAAAGTCAATCCCAGCTTCCCAATCTCTTCTTTAAAAGCTCTGGTGATGGAGAAGAACCCACAACTTCTGAAGGGCAGCCATTCCACTCATCGGCTGTCTCCTTATTTCTAGGCTGGTTCTCTTCTTTGATTCGCCTCCATCTCACGGACCTGTCTCCAGATCCCTCTCCTTTGTGCCAATTTAATGAATGAATTAGAGCAGTGTTGGTTCTTCATTATGGACCCCTTTCAAATACCTTTTGTGGGAACCCCAAGGCTTCACTCGAGATTGAAGTGATAACATTTCTCCAAGTCTCCGCAGACCCCCGCCCTGTGATGACATTGTGGCTCCCCAGGGGTCCACAGAGGACAGGTTGAGAACTCCTGGATGAGAGCATGAATACGTGGCTGAATGAAAGAGTTCTTGAGGACAATTGAACTGGTGCAAGGAGGTGGTTACCTCTGGCTTTGGAGGCAAGGGTTCACTAAAATTTGAAGTGATAGCCAGTAATTGTGCAAATGACATCACAGCAGGCAGCAACTGGTGCAGCCATCAAAGGCCTACCTTGGTCGGTGGGTGGAACAAGATCTTGAAGGAGGCCTGCCATTACTCCAGCCAGGATCCAGAGAGAGGAGAGCAGGGCTTGGCAGTTAAGACAACGAGGCCTTGAAAGGAGACCCTGAGGAAGAAGAGGCCAAACTGCTTCCAAGACACGGTCAGGTGAAAGAAACCGGAGCCCAGGCAGGAACATCTCAGACAAGACTCTCCCTCGTTCTCAGGTAAAAGGAGCACATTCAGGCTGGCAAGATTTCGTCACTATAGCTTGACAATTAAAGTAGTTATCGGCCTACATGGCTGTGGCTGCCTGGTCTTGCCTACCTTGGAGGGCTGACAAGAAGTCACGTGTTTGCTTCTCTTGGCCAGAGGCTCCTGGTCAGCCCTTTCCCCGAGAAGAAGGGATCTGGCCCACTTGCTGAGCCTGCCTTCCAACCTGGTGCAGGGCTTTCCCCCTTGATCTCAACGTCTCTGGGGACACAGCACTTCCTGTGCACCCCACCTCGATGGCAAGCCTGGCGCAAAGAAACTATTCTGAGCCTTCCGCCAACAGTCCAATTCAACATGCCCATCGCCCCTGAGAATAATGCTCAGCAGTACAGAAGAACAACTCACAGGCTCACTTAACCTCCCAACTCCCCTACCTGGGAGGACAGCCAGTCTTAAAGGTCTTCTCAGCAACCAGCAGGGTTGGGGCCAAACTGATCTCATGGGAAAGAGAGCACCTGAAGGCAAGCAGTCCAATTGTTCTCCCGGTCAGGAAATTGGTTGCCATCCACTGCTTCTTGCCTTGCCTTCTGGTGCTTTGGAACACAGGTTATGATGGCAGCCCCTCAAATATTGGAACACTGCAATCATGTCAACCCTAGTCCTTCTTTTCACTAGAGTCGATAGACCCAATTCCTGTAACCGTTCTTCATATGTCTTAGTCTCCAGCCCTCCAATCTGTTGTTCTTGCATTCTTTCCAGAGTCTCAATACATCGTTTTATATTATGGTGGCCAAAACTGGATGCAATATGCCTCGTGCGGTCTTACCAAGGCATTACAAAGTGGTACTAACGCTTCATGTGACCTTGATTCTATTCCTCTGTTAATGCAGCCTAGGATTGCATTGGCTTCTTTGGCAGCTGCAGCACACAGCTGGCTCGTATTTAAATGACTGTCCACTAGGACTCCAAGATCCCTCTCACAGTTATTGATAGTGAGCCAAGTTTCACCTAATCTGTACCTGTACCTTTTGGGTTTTCTTGACTAAATATAAAACCTTATTTTTTTCCTCCACTAAATTTGTTTTATTACCTAGAGAGGGCCCAGTGTTCAAGTCTGCCAAGATCCATCCAGAGCTTGAGCCTGTCTCCTGGGGTTTGGGCTATTCTTGCCAGCTTGGTGTTGTCTGCAAACTTGATGAGTTTCTGGAGAAAGAGGTGTGCCGTAAATACATGTGTGTGTGTGAATGGCTGGTATCCTATCACTGAGACTGGAGAAGGCAGGATGGCAAACTATGTGTTTATTCAGATTTAGAGCTGACCAGGATCATCCCCAACCATTTCAGCCTCTTTAAAACGGTGTCCATGAATGCCAGCTCTGGCTGAATAAATGGAGTTATCACAGCCTCAGAGGAAGCGCTGAGACCTTTTGGGCTTTCAGGCCTGCAACTCTCCAAAAGAAAGACTCGGCAGCCTTAATTCATCACCTACTTAATATCTGAATTGCACATGGAAGTAGCCCAGCCATAATTCAATTTGCATTAAAGAAATGAGCAGGTACCAGCACATAAGCATATGCCACCCAGGGCAGTGGGATACACGGAACATTCTAGTGGCTTGCAAGGTGCTCTCTGATTTAGTGATCCTAATTTGCATAAATTGTATAAGCATGCTTGAGAACCAACTTACCTTAGATGCACTTGTGGGTTCCGGTGTTTCAGAATAACAGAGCAAGAGCCAGAAGGAGATCTGCAAGTGGGCCTCACACACTGCCTAAAGACTGCCATGCAAGGACAAATCATGCATTGCAAAGATCGCCTGGAGGTGGGATATATTTCTAATGTGATCTACCAGATCCCCTGCGTGGACTGCCCTTGTGACTGTGTAGGATAGACAGGGAGGAAGCGAATCACCAGAATGCAAGAACACAAGCGAGCAGTCAGAAATTCCATTTCACAGCTACTAAGATGGTTGGCCAAGCAGGTACACAGATAGCCAGGGGAAGGATTGAAGCCTGGGGAATGGGGGCCCTTGCCAGTCAACAGGAGGGCTGATTTATCGCCAGCTTATCAGGTACTGAGGAGCTCAGCTGAGGGCTTGGCAGCACAAGAAAACCACAGCCAACCATGGCCATCAACACCAATCAACCAAGAAGAAGCCACATCCAACCAGGCACCACATAAATAGGACACATAGAGTAGCCCAAAATACGCATTCCAGTAGGGAGAAGTTCCCAGAGGATGGGCTCCAGCAAGGAAAACCACACCTCTGGTTCCAGGGACTGACCCAGGTTGGATTCTGCACCCAGTTTTCAATCACTGGGGGGAGGGTTCAATTCTGCTCCCCCTGGGCCAACCTCCTCCTGCTTGTCCGGTGTCCAGATTTAAAGGCCATCTTTTAGGAAAGATTCAGTAAAGGGGAGCAAGAGGTGAGAGGTTCAGTCCAGAATTATCTGGAGGCTTGAAACAAAAGCCCCACAAACAGATGACACCTTACTGAGCCATGGAAAGGGGGGGAGAAGCTCCTGTATGGTCCCTGACTGTGGGACACAAATAGTCCGCAATGGCAAGAAGGGCGACTCCAGAGGAATCTGGGTGAAGAGCCAGCCAAGGGGAACGAAGGATGGCGAGGTTGGGGGCAAGCACAGGCCAGACGCCCATCTTTGGGGCAAAGGGGCGGAGGTCCTCCTGAGCAAGGCCCGAAGGTGCAACCAAAGCCTCAGCCGCCCAGATGGGCATGGCTTCCATGGGCCGGAGCTTGTCTGGATCGGGCACTGCAGCCCAAAAGCTGGGCCTGGTCTCTGGGCAGGAGGCCCCGTTTTCAAGACCCCGGGCAGGCGGGCGGGCGGCTGTTCCTGCTGTGGCGCTTTACAGGGCCCCTGGCGGGCTTTGCCCAGGGAGACTCTGCCGGGCCTTCCACGGGAGCCGCGCGGGGCCTCGGGCAGAACTTGACCCTCCGCGTCCCGAGCGAGGAGCGGAGCCCGGAGGTCGGGCGGGGCGCGGAGCCCGGTTCCCGCTCTCTGGGCAAGCGCCCCGTGCTCCGCTCCTCGCTCGGGACGCCCCTCGGGACTCTCTTGCCGGCGCAGCCTCTCGGGGGCGAAAGGCGGGCGCCTCCACTCCGCGGCCCGGCCTGGGGCCCGCCGCCCCTCCGCTGCCCCTCGCGTCGCCTGAGCTTTCCGAGCGGAAGTGGACGGAGCCCCCGGAGAAAGAGAAAGCGCCGCGCCCAGCAGCCACAGCTGACGCCGACGCCTCCCCGCGCAGGTGCCCGGCCGGCCTTCCTGGCGGCGGGCGGCGGCGGCGGCCCTGCGGAGCCATGGGCGGCTCGGGGCCGGCCTGGCGGGACTCGCTGCCCTACTACTACTGCGTCAAGTTCGCGCTCTCGGCGTCCTCCACCCTCTTCTCGGTAGGCCCCTTCCCACACGCGCCGGGCGCCCCGGCTGAGCCTCGCCTCGCCCTGGCCGCGCCCCCGCCGGCTCCCTTGGGCAGCGGGGCCGCCTCCGCCTTGTCGCCCGGGCGCCGTTGCCGGCCGCTGCCTGCGCTTTTCCCGGGCTTCGCGCCACGCCTGTGCCGGGAGAGCGAGGCCGGTGGTGCGCGCCTGGCGGCGGGGCCTGGCGGGCGGATTCCCCGAGCTTCCCGCCCCCGGAGGCGCCCCGCCGCCCGCAGAGTCGGCCCTTTGTTTCTTTCTGCCGTTTGGGCGCCGCGCGGTTGCCGGACGGACTGTGCGCGGCGGTTTCCTTGGCCGCTGCACCGCAAGGGCTCCGCTTGGATCCTTCCCGGTTTCGGGTTTTTTCCGTTTCTGCACAATCTGAGCCCCCCACTGCAGTGCTGAGCCGGAATGCAAGCGAGGCCCTTTGCCTGCAGCGGCCCAGGCAATTCCCTGGCTCTGGGCCTTGGCTCTGGAGTCAGCTGGGGACACCTGGCTGGAACCATCTACCTACCTGGGCAGCCTGTAGGAGCCTCAACCGGTCAGGGGTCCTCCAGCTGTGACTCTTCTTCAGAGGCTTCCAAGCTTTCTCTGGAAGGGGGAACCGATTAGGCTTGGCTTTTTTTTTTTTTTTTTTTTTTTTGAGGATCCCAGACCTCTAAACAAGGGCAAAGCTCTAGCGGGAGATGATTGGCTGTGTTTGAGTAAAGGTGTACATTCGGTCCCTTAGTTTCTCAGGGAACCACATCATGTTCTCTGGAAACACAGCTGGAAAATCCTTGCCAAGCTCTGATGGGCTTCAAGTGAGAGAAGACTGGGAACGTTTGTGTGTGCATTCATTCATTCATTCATTCATTCAAATTGGTTATAGCTCTCAGCTGTAATGGACTCTGGACAGCTCCCCATAAAAACAAAACAAAAAGCTACGCTGACAGCCCAGACTAAAATTATCTTAAAAGCGACACATGTTGAAATAGATCCCTCCAATAAACCCAGCTTGGGATCAGAGCCATCTTTAAGAACCTCCTGGAACCCCACGAGGGGGAGGCTCTGTCCTCACCTCTGCTTCCCCGGGGCCTGAGCCCCTGGTTTCCAAAACGCTAAGCATCGTGTTAGGATGTGGCAAACTTCCTCCCCATCCCGCCTCCAGCCACATGGAAGTCAGGCAGAGGCTGAATTTTAGATTTGGGGAAACAGCTTCTTTTCTTCCTCTGGGAATACAGTTAGCCCTCAACTGTTCGCAATTAGTGTGGTGATGACAAGGTAAGTTTGTGACCAATCCTTGCACTTAACCACTATGGCGGATCTGCAAGGCAAAGCAAAGAGCAAAAACTCCGTTACTGGACTGAATGACCGGTTGGGGTTGCTAAATGAAGACTACCTGTAGCCCTTTTTTCCTGAATTCTTTTGGGAATCTGAAGGAAAAGCTTGTTGCAAATCATAACAATGGATGCTCTGAGCCTGTTGATGGGCACCTTGCTGGAGCATACTTAAGCAGTGGTCAACCAGGACACTTATATCCTTGAACAGCCTCAGTTCTGCCTGTGTGGAGAGGACATCCTGGGGCTCTTGTTTGTGGCTTGGGTCTCAGGCTTCGGCCTGGATCTTGGTGGGAATGTTGAACTGGTTTTGGATGCTACGGTGTTTTGTAGATCCAGCCTGCACCTTCTATTTTGCTGTCATGGAGCTCCTGACTCATCATCTCTGTTCTGCTTTGTTGAAGAATTTTATATTGAATGGAGGCATTTGCTTCTCCTCTGTTGTGTTTCATTTAACACAAGTTCATTATGTAGAAGTCTTGATGTTTCATATGATTTATTCACCATCATCATAATTATGAAAGTAATGACTTGTTTAATGCCAAGGAAACTTGTAAGCAATTGTAATTTGTTCAAACTGGAGTTCAGGCTTAGTGTAAGCATGAACTTTGCCAGTTATGGTTTTAATAAACCATGACTAAAAATATCATGGCTTAGTGTCATTTAGATTACCCATGTACCATAGTTATTTTTTATGGCAATAAGAATAAAGAAATTTGCCTTCAGCAGTTGTGGGAGCTTCTTCCTCACGGGAAGCTTTCAAGAAGAGACTGGACTGTCATTTGTCAGAAATGGTGTAGGGTCTCCTGCTTGGGCTGGATGACCTACAAGGTCCCTTCCAACTCTGTTAATCCGTTAAAGTTCTGAGAGGAGCAAAGAGCAAATGGATGTACTTGGTAGAAAGGCCATCGGCAACTGTCTCCCTTTGCACATTTGCTGGGTTCTAGGAAGAAAATAAATGGAAAATGTGCACTGGCACACCTTGGATTCTTTGCGAGTTAATTTCTCTCTATTAATGGAATCCATAACAAGCATTATCAATAAATGATCAAATGCGATGCTGATACAAATAGAGGAAAAATTGTGGGGTCTTTTGTGTTCTGTGAGCCTGGCTTTTTTCCTTGCAGATGTTTCATTAGCCAACTAGGGAGCCCGATTAGTGCCTTGGGCCAGTTCCATCCTGAGCTACAAATACTCTCTTCTAGAGGACAGATTGCTAGTTGTCTTCTAGGGTTGCCACCTCTTCCTTTCCCGCGTTGTTTCTGGTCTGCCTGCCTGCCCAGAGCAAGTGCCCTTCTTCCCTACACTTTTCAGCAAAGGGTCAACTAAGAACTCGGTAGCTGAAGGCGCAAATGATAGAAAAGATAGTTGGGAGTCTTGGTCTGTGTTTATTGGTCTTGGAATTTGCTGTGCTCTGCTTGATTGGTGTTTCTAATATCTTCTGTCTGTTTTGTGGCTTTTTTTGTCTTGATTGGCTGGCAACATTGTGTTTCCTGCATTGGAGGCTTTTAGTGCGGCTTGGCTCCGAGTAAACGGACGGCTATCATTTATTAGGAAGGCTATCATTTATCATCTGGGTGCCTGGTTGGGGTGTGTTTGAGCTGGAGGTATCAGGCCATAGCCATAGAGATTGAAGCCATAGAAATTGAAAAAAGACCTGAAAGCATGAATAGAAGAGATGACTCCACCAGACTGTCAATTATCTGGAAGCCTGCACTCTCAAACAAAAAAATCTCCACACCACAAGCCAGGCAAACACCTGGGCACAAACAGACTCCCCCTGATACCTCCAGCTCAAACACACCCCAACCAGGCACCCAGATGAAACCAGACCCACACCCATGATGCTACCACCACACTTCCACGTAGAAAGCAGACTCACACCCACACAGAAGATGAGACACGACCACGGACCAGAAGCCATACCGCAGCTGCATCACTACCTGCTTCAAACTCCTCCGACCCATACATGAAGCGAACTGACGCCCACCATGAAGATGTGGCACGACCACAAACGCGAAGCCAAACAGGATCACAGCTCACTAGCTCAAATCCCCCGGCAACTAAGACTAACCTGAGCACAACCAAGCCTCCACCTGAACGGAACACACCCCCAGCCAATCAGAACACAGCCAACCCCCCAACCAATCAGAACACAGCCAAACCCCCAACCAATCAGAACACTCCCCCACCCAATCAGAACATAGCCAAGCCCCCACCCAATCAAGTCACACCCCCACTAGCAGTTAAAAGGAAGAAGCAGCTGCAAGCTCAAATTACTCTGAGAAGCACAAGTCGAAGACACAAGCCTGAAGATGATGAATGAGACTTCAGCAAAACGTCGCCTAGATACTTCCAATTTTACACTGGAGAAAACCCGAATAACCAAAGATCCGCATACAAATACCTGCGAAAACCTCAGAAAACACACACACACACACACACACACACACACATATACCGTGTTTCTCATAAAAGAAGGCCGGGTCTTATATTTTTTTGAGCCCTGAAAAAACGGCTAGGCCGTCTTTTCGGGGGTGACTTAATTCCCCCCCTTGCATCCTCATCTAGAGCGTCCCGCGGGCAGCCTCGCCACCAGCCGCTCCTAACGGGTGATCATGGCGAAGCACAGAGAGCTCCCTACTCCCACCAAACACCTTTGCTGCAGACCCAAGACCTTTGGCACCCGCCGCTGTTGCTTTCCCTTCTGCCCATTCTGCCGCCACATTTGGAGCTGCCGCTTCTGTGTTTGGAGTGTCGCTGCCATTTGGAGCACCGCTGTCATGTTTGGAGCTGCCACTTCCGTGTTTGGAGGTGCCGCCGTGTTTGGAGTGGTGGCGGCGCTCCAAATGGCGGTGGTGCTCCAAACAGCGGCAGTGCTCCAAATGCGGAAGCGGCAGCTCCAAACGCGGCGGCAGCTCCAAATGCGGACATGGCAACTCCAAACAGCGGCAGTGCTCCAAACAGCGGTGGGGTTCCAAACGCGGAAGCGGCAGCTCAAAACGCGGCGGCAGCTCCATATGTGGAAGCGGCAGCTCCAAACAGCAGCAGTGCTCCAAACAGCAGCAGTGCTCCAAACGTGGAAGCGGCAGCTCCAAACGCAGCGGCACCTCCAAATGCAGAAGCCACAGCTCCAAACGGCAGCGGTGCTCCAAACAGCAGTGGTGCTCCAAACATGGAAGTGGCAGCTCCAAACGCGGCGGCGGCATGGGCAGAAGGGAAATCAACAGCGGTGGGCGCTGAAGGTCTTGGGTCTGCTGCAAAGGTGCTTGGCAGGAGTAGGGAGCTCTCCACGCTCTGCCATGATCGCCCATTAGGGGCAGCTAGTGGCGAGGAATTGCTGCCTGCGAGGCGCTCCTAACGGCAAGTCCCCCTGCCCTTCCCCCCATTTTGCATGTTTTAAAATAGGCCTAAATTTGGGGGGAGGGGCTTAATTTCATTTTATGCCTAGAAAACATGCTGGGTCTTCCTATTGGGGGAGGTCGTATTGTT